TCCACAGTAAACGCACAAATACCACCATTAGTGCTTTGACCCTGCTCCGCAGAATCCACTGCATGCTACCGCTGAGTTGAGAGGGTCTACTTCTCTGGAACAACGAAATTGTTTAGACTCTGCTTCAAAGGGTTACACCGCTGAGAGATTGCGGTCTCACATTTCGAAAACGCCTATCATGCGCCATGCACTTTTATGAAGGCACCATCTCCAAATTACTGTCAAATCCCATTTTAACATACAGTATCACCTCCACAATTTAACACCAATGAAATTCATCATATCTTATGGCCGTTCTTTTTAATTAATCTGAATCAACTACATCTGGCTTCCTCTTCCCTGACTTGCTCACTGGGCGCCAACAGACTATGTCTGCCAATTGTGCTTCCTCGCATGCGACTCACTGGCTTATAATGGAAGCACGTTGTTTTATTCTATGCTCATCTGCCTGCATACCCTGCTACCATTTACCACAGATTTAAATTGTATTTTGTGACGCAAATGGAGAGATGAGCAGGAGAACTAAGTGAAATATATTTGCCGAAATATAGTCATAATCATCTGCAGCATCTAGAAAAATCTCCATGTCAATGCGGCTTAAAATAAATCCTTTTTGCATTGTTTGATTCCCACGTACAGACAAGAGCATTAAACTTGTATAGATGCACGTGTTCTAATATGCACGTTTTGTAAGTTCGTACTGGAGTCGATGCCATTGTATACTGAGATGTCAGCGATCTGACTTCTGCCCCACTCTCTCCTTATTGCCATTTCACATCGCTTCACGCAGCGCGTTGGTCGTTTTCTTCTTAAGCCGACCAGCAGCATCCACCAACCTCCCGTCAATCCACCATGCCTACTACCATCCATCGCACCGATACTACTGCACTCCTTGTGCCACCATTACCTTTATCTGCGACTGTCTCTGATGATGAATTTGAGTAAGAATCTGAAACGTCAGGCCATTACGTTTCTCGAAGTGATCACATCTTCGTCTTCTGCACTGCTACCTCGAACCCGCCTGTCCGCTTCTATCAACAAATGCTATCATTTGCCCAGCATATTTGACCTGTTGATGCAGCACACACAGAATGCTTTTTGAATTGATTAATTATCAGGTCCAGACTGGTGCATGAAATCCAGTCAGCGGCACTACATCATTCCCAGATCCTTGCTTATATGAACGTATTCTAATATGCACGTTTTACAAGTTCTAATGGTGCCAGTGCCATTGTCTTTTGATATGGCAGCGCTATGAAATCTATATTCCCTCCTCATTGCCATTTCACATCGCTTCACGCAACGTTTTGCTCGGCTACTTGTTAATTTGACCACCAGCATCCACCTACCTCCCGTCAATCCACCGTGCCTGCTACCATCCATCGCACAGATATTCACCAGACATCATCAGACCTTTGAGAGACCTACTGATACACGTGGAAATTTCTACTTCTATCACCTTCCTCTTTCTTTTTTTTCTCTGACTTCCAGTCATTTGCCTGTGTAGGCAGATTTACTCAGAATGATTGTTTGGACCTGGCTGCTCTATCCAAGTTCTTTTCGTCAGCAAGCTATTAACTTCCAGGGGTCGGATTGATTTGTCAAACGTAAATTTGGATGACGATTTTAGTGCTCTTAGTATTAAACTATTTCCGCATATGCATACAATGCATATTGGCCACTTGTAGTTGTATATTGCAATATATATTTTTGGCAGTGTACATGAAGTATGAGAACTCTATAAACACATTAAAGGGCAAAGAGGATTCAGTTTTTTTCTCGAAATTGCGTTCCAAATGGAAATGGATCGTGATCGTATATCTTCACAGAACTAGCATTAAACTGCCCGTTGATTGCGGCATGTCCACTTGGCGACTAACAGAAATGCCTGATTTCTCTAATTATGTTTCAAGATTTCGAGGATAATGAAGGTAAAGATAGGAATGCCAACATCGGAGATGGCCTAATTCTGCCGCATATAATTTTGAAGCATTAACTGAAAACGAATTGCCCGCCATGCATATGTACAACGACATAAACAAGTGTAGTAATTAATATCTGAAATGCCTTAGCATACCAGATAATCGAATGTTCACGGTCAGAACAAAATTGAGAACTTTAATGTCCTGTTTTAATATACTTCATCGAATCAGAAAGAAGTTCACATATAATTGACTGGTAAATGTATTTTCGATCCAATTTCAGCAAAACCCAATCATACTCCATTCGGTTTTATAAATATGGCCAATATTATCCGCCCTGGATCGTGATTTTCTCGGTCTACTTAATTCACCGTCTCAAAGGACTTTTAAGTCTGTGCAGTAATATGGCACTACGGTTATCGTTATTATGTATCCTAATTAGATTAAGCGCTACTTTTAATGCCTTAAGTCAAAGTATGCATTGAGTCTTTATCTTCTTTCAGTTAGCAATTTGCTCCAGATAACACTACAATATTAGGTGACTGTCTCCAGGTTCTATTAAAATTTAACTCCTTAAAGTGCCTATTACGTACTAAAAGGATCTGAAAACTAAATCGTAATGGTATGTTATGCGTAACAAACTTGCTGTATTGTTTAGAATGCTGGAGCCCGGCAGTCGGTTTCGGAAATGTAGTGTACGTTGTCTACGTCCATCTTAAGAAAGCACTCCATCTGTGTGTCCTGTACAAAGTAAGCAGGACAGGCCTCGTTGGTTATCTATGTGAGTGGACTCAAAGGCTTTAGATCGGTCGCTCTCAAATTGTCTACGTCGGTTACAGGCAGTCGGCGGAGGTAGAGACAGAAAACGGCTGTCCTTAATGCTCCATTCTTGGCCATACCCTGTTCATTAAATACGTTAACGAATGAGACAGTAAAATAAGCGTTGATGTCGTCGTGTTCGCTGATGCGGTGCAGATTTGGAGGCCCATCCGAAATGAATTTAACAAAGGGAACTTGCAGACAAACCTGAAACGGCTCGATAAATGGTCACAGGAAGTGTTTTTTGTAGTTTAATGTGATCAAGTGTGACATCGTTTGAGACAGCCGGTCTACGGACTGGTGAGAGTTTGCCAGTGAGAATTTATTGATTGTTATTCAAATATTTTCCGTTTATTTAACCTATATCACTGTACCCTTCCGCAGACATTTTGGAGGAAATTTAAGCGTCTCACCGCCCTGGAGAACATAGAAAAAAGGTTGACACCGACTGCGACTCATCAATCAAAATGTTATCTTTCTTTCGAATGTTTTCAATCTGCCCTAAAACGTCGTTTCTCTAGACCGTGTGTATAAAACTGCTTGAAAATACTCTTTGATTAAACATTGGTCGGACCGGGTATTATCTCGCCAATGCTTCCTAATTCCTGTTTTTCTCAGAATGCAGCTTCGTTAACACATCTTATTAACTTTTACTTCCTGTCTCACTGATGGTTGGCGTACAGTTGGGATCCATTCCATTCTTGAAAAATCTATGAGTATTTGTCCTTAACCCATATATATATATGATTGCCTATTCTTGCGCACTTCTTAGGCCCGCTGAAAGCGTTGCAGTAATTCCCATTCCACCATTCGCCTTTACTTTCTCCGGTCGTTTGCAGTTTTATTCCTTGTATGCAGTTCCTCTTCTAGTTGATATTGTCCTAGGAGATCTGCACTAGTGCTGCCATGCGTATGCATATACAGCACTTTTTTATTAGCGGTTTTAAATATCGTACCACAACACCTAAGCAAAAATCTCTGTATGCGTCACCTGGCTGAATTTTCCCGTGGCCTTTATATTTTTTGCCACTCGAACTCAATTTGTCTACTCTGGCAAGCGGAAATCCACTGATCTACCGAATGACGGCGGCGTCTCTCGAGGTTCCATCTTATGCTCTCGTTGCTTCCAACTTAACATCGATGACTTGAGATGGCCGAAGGGCTGCCTAGATGTCCATTAGACTGCTAATAATTTTGTTAGTTACTGTCCATCTGCAGTTTCTCAGGTATAACTTGAACCACGGCCCTTCATGTCTTCTAACTCCTAGTCTAGTGTTTCTCGACTGCGACGCCTACCGTCCCTGCATCCCCTGGCACCTTACCTAATAAGATGTAATCTTTACGGTATCCAGTGTCAGTACTCCAACAAATCACTCAGTTGCTTTCACGTAGAAACGTATTTCATCAATATCCATAAATTGGTACATTACATTCGTTATTAAAATTCCTTTCATGCACCTCATTCCTTGATCTGTAAATTCATAGATTACAGGATTTTATGTGAAATTCTGCATTGTACTAATATTTTTGGCGCATGCTTTTAATAAAATATGTTCATTTTTAAGCGTCTCGACCGTATGCTCTAGTCCGCCGTCCGCGTCTCTTATGCATTCTGACTGACATATTAATGAATCCACACTTCTCAACGCTCACGCATACGAATTCATTCACTCTCTTGTCTTCTATGAAATTAGTCTCTGGGTACGGGAATGATAGTATGTTTTGCTGAAAACTTTGGGCTGATACGTTTACAATGAGACACTTTTCTATCTCTCCGTCCCTCTCAGTCTCCCGCTCGCATTCTTCATGTCTTTATCCTTATCTCTACCTCACTATCCCTCCCCGTCGATGCCCATGGATTTCATGGCCACGCCTATAATCAACCCAAAAATTATTTTCGTAAAAAAAAGTCAAAACAGATGAACCGACTGGCGTAAAATCTGATCACTCAAAGCATATGGTATAAAAATACTGCCCTTTCTAATGCGGACATCCAATGGATCCACAAGTAAGAATGTATAAGCGATTGCCTTGACAACGGCCTACAATAGTAAATAAATATCGCCAACATTGTCAATAAAACTGCGTCCACATGATGAGTATGATTGGTCAATCGTAGCCGACTGGAAAACCTATATAATCTATCAGGGTTCTGATAATGCAAAAGTCAACACCGCGGCCAGTCCTTGGTTTGGAGTCCTAGGTTTAGTTATATCCAAACATCGCACGTAGGATTTTTGGATATCGCATCAGGCAAACATGAAGTCAGTGCTAGTCACATCTCTGCTTGTTTCTGTTGCCTTTGCTGATACTCACCACAGTAGGCTTGTCACCTAATTTTTGAATAGACCAACCTCGTAGACATATATAGCGTGCCAATGAACACAAACTTCGAAATTGTCATAAAAGTCGATGCCTCAAGTTCGGTGCGTCAATTAAATATTTCATACACCGCTGAAGTTCATAATCAATGTCAGCAAACACTCACATTTTTGTTTCGCACTGTTAAGCAAAACGGACTCAGGATTCGTCGAAAGCACGCTCGACAAAGACTGCGGGGAGCTTAGCATGTGTGTGCAATTACTACCACGTGAGTTTGCTTAGAAGGATCAGAATTCATATGGTTTTTATTGCATACTTATGATCGAAAGTAGCGATTAGCACGTTTCTCTTCGATTTTTTTTCGGTAAGGCATTTTGTTAGAAAAATCAGATCTCAAATGCTTTATTTTCAGAATTGGTAAGAGTGCTTTATATTGCCGTGTAACACTGAGTTAACCCACGTCCTTCCTTAAGCCCTTACTGGTCTTGACTGGCTGGATTGACTGCAGTTTGCGAAGCACTTAGGCACCTCAATATGCTTGGTTTGGCCTAGTGTAGCGCAGTGGCAACTACGATGCTCGTTAAACAAAACCTTACTTACATACAGGTGTTTTCTGTCTTGACAGCAAAACGCAGTCTTCAAATATATGGAGATCCCAAGACTGACAACGCACGGCTTCTTCTCATTCCTGAAGATTCCGGACTGTCAAACGCCATAGTAGCGATAGTGAGAAGTGCCAAATGCTATCCCAGTACATATTTCTATAAACGATTTTGCACTCTTTACGTCGCCAATTGTGTGCACTTAATATTTAAACTGTTCTGAATCATGCATTGCCATCGTTTTCAGTCGTAACTTAATCTGTTAATCATTTTTATTATTTTCCTTCCATTGACAGAGCCCTATAGTGTCTTATTTACTGAATCATTCTGCGCCAAACGCGATTTTATGGACTCGCTGACACTAGTGTTTGATAAAGACATTAAGGTAAGCAAACCTTCATTTACAGTTCGTGCCGAGGTGTGTTATAATTTGTTTCGAATTGGAACGGCGTTTAAATTATCTGATGCCATTGTGCCCTCGGAAGATTGTGCATACACGTGTATATGTTAAACTTGATACTTGCATGAAATCTGTTCTACATTCTGAAGGAAATAAAACTTGAGGGCCCCATTTCAAAGTACCCAAAGAATACGGTTGTTGATGGCGCGGAGGTGTTTATACCATACGGTTAGTTGGAATTTAGTGCTGACAAACTGAGAAATGAGAGAGCGGCTGGGCATTTAACTGTTATTTGAATGTTTCAGAGAAAGTCGATGGTCAGGACTATGAACTCTTGCGGATCACCGGTAAAATCGGGGACACAAGTGTATCCTTCACACTGGTAAACCCCGCTGGAGTTGATACAAACTACATTATACAGCCAGTCAACAATTTGCAGGTGCAGCTCAATCCAGTACGGTTCATCAGATGGGAGAAAAATTGCCAACGACCGTTAAACGTTGGCGCGTTCGAAGTATAATTCTGATGCCCTTTTCCAATTCCGGATGATTTTTCTGTAGCTGAAATTATCATTTCAAATTAATAAAGATCTGCGCTCTCTGGATCTGCGGCCTTCGAAATCAACGAACTTATTGTCGTACACTCCACCTACTCGTATGTATTTCCGTCGAACCATAGAATGCCTGGTACAGGGAATTATGAGTTGGAAGACTGGGGCGTGTCTGGGGTGGTTCTCCGTTTCATCATATTTGTCTTGTAAGAGTTATTGGAGGATTCCAACTACAAACTAAATTCAATCATGTTTGCAGTTAATAAGGAAGTGGCTTGGTTGTCAGGTCCAGTGAAATAGAAGAAAACATGGACATTGCATCAAAATTTTCCATAACGTTATTTAACAGGAAGCCTACCCCTTTAATGTTCTCTAAAAACTGTCTTGACGAGCCAACAGTGGTGTTCAAATCAGCGGTCAGCAGTGTAAGACCTCGTCAGAGGACTTGTCCAAACACTACAGTAAAAATGATTAAAACTAGCTCATAAATATTACCTTTCGGTAGAGGGCCGGAGTTCTTGAATCTATCTGATATCGTGGACGAGTGGACGGACGTACTGGTGGCCCAGTTTCTAGCCAAATTCACCGGAAGATGATAAAAGATGGATGTACAATGTCCATACGCATCATAAGCAAGATATAGCGACACCCTCTGCATCGAAATCCACAAAATCCTGCTTTCAAGGTGTCTGCAGTCTGACGAAGCTCACTAGGCCGACCAATCCGGCACTTTTACCCCTCACCTTATCGCAATGACTAGGCTTCGTTGAAGGTTTCCAAGTGTGCCACTGTTGTTTAAAACCGAATCATGGAACCATCAATTTAAGATCAGCAAATTCATACGGTGTCTCTTGGTGTTCCATGCCCAATCGTCCACTTATGTTCCGTAAGGAAGAGAGGATTGATAAGTTTCTGATGAGGTAAGACACAGAGCACAATACTGATGCAATTCACTGTTTCACAATATACGGTGCTAGGTAAGTCATTTCTTTGAAGGTTTTTGGAGCTTTGGGTTCGGTAAACACGTACGCCTTCCTTGATAGTGACTCAGACACTACGGCCATCTACGAAGACCTGTTGAAGCAATAAGTTATCAATGACCATCCGGCAGTGCCGTCAGTACCCACTCTCGTTCAGACAGCGAAATTAAGCACCGAAGAGGGGAATTTGCAGATAGGCGCGATGGAAGGACTGGAGCGACTAGAAGTAAAAATCTGCTCCGTCAGCCATCTTCTGAAGCAAAGCCAATACATATGCGAAACTTTGATTTCGGCGAACCGGAGCTCTTGGGTAATGTATATTTAGTGGAGTATAAAAGGTTATTGGTGTTGTCCGACATAAATGCGCATTTAATACAAGAGCACATAAAAGTCACTTTACATTGGAAAAAAACCATTCCATGTCTGTCTGACAATGTGCCCGATTGCTCGCAGACAATTATGCGCTTTGAAAACTGTTCCTTAAGAACCTGCGAGTACAAGGGGCTGTTTTCGAGTAAGTAGACAAGGATTAAACATAACCTGTTGAATGGACGCCTACCGTGATGTCAGGTCAACTTTCGCCTTTACCCCAACACTCCGTGGTAAATTCAATGAAATAAGGGAAGCTGAGGATAGTGCCCAACTTTGTCTCATTGTTTAAATACTACAAAGACCAGACCACGCTCACAGTTGCTGTGGCGTTTCTGCTCCATTCCAAGAGTTCCCCTACATAGAGGGGACAAATCTAGAAACTGTATTCCAACAGGTACGATTTCCAAAACCTCAACGTTCGTGTTTATGTTTTCCGTGGTGGACAAGTGCTAACCTACTACTCATTCCGGACGTTTAGTAAATTGCAGCCCACACGGACGGGACAATCTCTACCCTATGCGTTGCTACCTACGCACAAATTCGATCGATAAATCAGTCGATGGACTTCGCCGAAGCTCATGATTTCAATTGTTTGTGGAGATGCATTTACGTTGAAGACAGCCTGATCAGCCACGTGTCTGCGCAAAGCCTCTGGGACGAGATTTCTCACCCACAAACAACGCTACGATATCATGGCATCCGCTGGAATAAATGACTGAGTAACTCGGTTGAGGCTATCTTAGTCGACCGAGAGGAAATACGAGCGGGGGGAACAAGTGGCTTGATCTAAAAACCAATCGATACACGGGGAACACTAGGTGTCGAGAGGAACACGACTACAGGCATCTTAAGTTTCATTATCATCGTATAATTCGTAAACCTTTTACTCTAGAGAAATAGTGACGAGACATTTCAGCACAGTTTCCTCTGGCCAGTGATCTCATATGACAAAGCAACGGGAGTGCAAACAGAAAGTCGGTGCGGTTTTAAAGGCTCTCTAAAAACATACTGCTTTTAAAGAGAACATGTGCTTGCAAGGAAACATAGAGTTTGGAAAAGTGGTTGGGAAGATCGATAGGGGAAATGAAGTGAAGGGTCATCGCACCGCAACTTCCAGCGTCATGTTTCGTCTTCGCATGATCAGGTAACTGGTACGTACTTGATGTAGCACATATTCTTCATCACGTTGCTTTAGCCAGCCGTCCTGAGTGATAATCGCTAGCTAATGAACTGAACAGACAACGTTGTCTGCTGCGTCAGCGACTTCGTTACCCACCACGAACGGACTGAATGTTTCAATCCGTAAACAGTACTCGCAAAGAAACTGCGGTCCATTACTGTGACTGTTCTGCAAAAGACGTCTGGAGAGGACAGCATTCGGGCCGAAATGGGCAAGTCCTTTGCTGACACTGGTACCCTGACTTCATGGAGCGAGGGCGCGCAAGCTCGGGAAGATGGGCTTTCTTCTGCTGATCGGACTCGACCGTGGCAGGATAAATTCAAGGAATTTAGACTTATTAGCCTAGTTTATGTTTCTGAAGAACTCTCTGCCTCTAGCAGATTTTAGAGGCCTGAGAACGTGGTCCTAAACGTGAATGAGTTCTTTAAGCAAACTGCATTTTCATCAACAACAAGTTAGCTGGTGTCTGTCACCTGCATTTTTGCCCAAAATAGGACATCCAGCAGGGCTATTGATTGCCAATTGAAGAAGCAGACAGCCTCCTATATACGTACAAATCAGCTGCTGGGTGAGTTTATTAAAAAGAACGTTATCCTAGTCGATTATATCCTCAGGCTTCTAGCGAGCACAGTGCGTGACTTTACTCATGAAAGCTGTCGAAATTTACGAATGAATGTCAACCACTGGCAAACCGGCCCGAATTTATGGATCCAATATCTATGTTTCTTAAGTGCAAATCTGAATGAATCAAAAACGTAAAATAAATATTGAAGGCAGTATTGTGTTGCTTTAAAATGCTGTTTTTTTAGAAAAGCGCAAAATATCGAAAACTTAGAAAATGGTCGCGATTTAGTAAACTTGGTTCTTAGATGTAAAGAGTGCCTTCTAATGCAAAAACGAGGTGAATATGACAGCAAAAATAAAATAGCGTTTAAACTAGAGTGTTAGTGTAGTTTGCATTTGCATATCCTTTAAGGATTAGCGTAATTTCATATATGACGGTTTGTCGAAAGCCTACATTCTGAGTATACATTACAGGACAGTTTTTCGGGAAGGCCTGGTATTTTTAATCCACTTAATTCTAATGAGATGCGGTTTAACAAGAGAAACGGGAGTTCGCTTGATTTCACCAATGGGGGGGCCGTAGGGGCAAAGGTTTTCATAAGGTTACATGCAGCCATGCCGATCGGGTACTAATAAATTTGAATAAAATTGACGTGCGTGCTCGTAAACATGCCATTTTGTGTTTTAGATTTTCGGAAATTCCCATAGCAGTAATCAGAAGACGAGGTGGCGAGCATACGTAGCTTTCGATTAATTTTCGTCGGGCCAGTACAATTATATGGAAAGGAGGTAGAGGTACAAACACGTTAGCGATAAGGTAAATCGATTACAGTTCGCCTTCAAACACAGGCTGGGTGTGGGAATGTGGGGTAGGGGCGGATAACATCATGAGATGAAACCACAATCACGGTTTCCAAAAGATCCAGGCCGGTACGTACACAATCACTCTCATATAACAATTGATTAAACGTTGCATGAAGGATTACCCTTGGTCCTAAGTTTTGTATACGTCGTCGAAAAATTATTCAGTTAGAAATGGAAACTCACTTCGCAAACCTATAGAACCAAACCTATGATCTGGTACCCGCTTCCACAAACAGTATTCAACACTTTAAATCAACACTGGTTAATTTCAGTTATCAGTACCTTAACAAGGGGCCAACATGTCAGGGATTGCTGACAAAAGCACAAAGGCAAAAGTTAAAAGAACTTCGAGAGAACAAAGATATCTTGCTAACTTGACCGGACAAAGGAACATACGTTGTTATAATGAACAGATCTGACAACGTAGAGAAGATACAGTCTATATTATCAGACCAGAAGAAATTCAAGAAAGTAGACAAAGAAAAAGATTGTACAGATGGAGTAGAGGCGAAACGGACTGACTGTCTAAGACGGCTACACACAGGGGGTTACATAAATGACCGTGACCTCAAACACCTCCGACCAGTCGGCACACATATCCCTCGACTATATGGTCTACCTACGGTCCATAAGGAAGGCCTGGCAATCCGTCCGATTTTAGACATGCGAAACTCGCCGTATCATGCGAAAGCAAAGTGGCTAGCAGAGAAACTTAAGCCCGTACAGCATCAGCTGGCGCCACGCAGTTATCGATATATTTTAAATTCATTAACGAAATTAAAGACCTCAACCTCAACGCCATGAGGATGTTTTCACTGGACGTCTCACCACTTTTTACAAATGTTCCCGTTACCGAGACAGTTGATTACATCTGTGAATTGCTATCAAACAATCAGGAATTCCGAAGAAGACATTCAATGAACTAATATTAAGATGCACATTAAATGTGCTGTTCCTGTTTGACAACCAAATCTATAGACAAATAGACGGCGTTGCTATGGACTCGCATC